GACTATAAAACAGACAGAGAGCAAAACTAAACTTAGCCGACAGGCAGAATGTGACACCCCCGTCCTCATCAACAGCACGAGGACCAAAGAGGTCATTGTGGACTTCAGAAAGACCAGAAGTGGCACACACACCCCATCGTGTCACAGGGACGGGGCTGAGTGTCTCCAGCTTTATGATTCTGGGGGTCCACATCTCTGAGAAAGTCTTCTGTATGCTCAACACTTCGGCCCCGGTCAAGAAGCTTCTCTTCTTCCTGAGTATGTCTTCTAGCGCTGCACCATCGAGAGCCTCCTGACCTCCTGCATCACAGACAGAACGGCGACCTCTCTGGTCCCGTCTACTTCTTTCTCTTTGTGCGCAGTGCTTGATCCAAAGTGACCCAAACTTAAATTATCACTAACCAATCATTTCTCTCTAAACTAATTAATAATCCCATTGAGAACCCTCTCTGCATTGATTCAGCTCAATCAACCAATAGCCCACTGAAGATCTGAACAAGTGTGATTTTATTTTAGCTGATGATTCCTGTAAATTACTGTAAATTTGGTCAAAGTTAAAATGTTCGTTTGGTTGTAGTTTAAAACTACAAACACAACCTTATTAACGTTATTGTTTTTAATATGCGTTTTGAAACTGATTTGAAATTGTCCACTCTGTGATGTTATTGTAATGTGACTTTCAGTCTCTCATAACTTCCTGTATTTGTTTGTACGTGTGTGTGTGTGTGTGTTAATGTTGATGGTAATTTTATTCTGAAAAACGGAAATTTGGTTAACAAACTAAATGAAACATTCAACTGAAGTCTTTTCTCAGCGTCTGTTAAGGTTTGCAGTGTGTGTGGGCTAGTTGAGGACCCAAATGCAGGACACCAGAGCTGAGCAGATATCATCCAATGATTTATTAACAAAAAACAAGCACATTTACAAACAGTGGCTGAGTCGAAAAGCAAAATCCAATGAACACAAGATGAAACCATAATCCACAAATTGGCCAGGCTGACATGACATGAAACATGAGGCAGAGACGAACTCAGGTTAAAGCACATTCACAAGCTATGAGCAACAAACCACAACGATCCAACCCAGACTGAACAGAACACAGGCATTAAGTAGTGAGGCAAACGAGCGGGGCGGGAACATAAAACAGGTGGATCACATCAAGGAGAACAGAACAGGAAGCTAAAGAAAAAGCTAGACCTGAACACGGGAACACACCAGGATAGACACAAAATATGTAAAGACTGCAAAATCAGGGCATGGACTGAGACCGGACCAAACAGGAGACAGGAGTACACTAAAACATGGTGACATAGGACTCGAAGAGGTAAAAAACATGCAGATAAACAGAATAAATTAAGCTACAAACCATCAACATGACAAGATCAAATAATGAAACTTAGAACTACACCAGGAATAACATTAACATGAACTAAAGCACAGAACTAAGAACTAAGGCAAAGAACTAAAATACAGGACTAAGACCTAAGATAAGAGACAAGACATAAATAACTAGAGACAAGGAACGAGAGAAACCGAGGCAAATAGATAAACACATGAAACAATGGCAAAACCAGAAACACACAGGGAAAAATACAACACAAAACCAAGCTCATAATAGTGTCGACATTTTGCAGCAGCTTCAAAGTAACCGATTCCTCCGCCATCATATATAAATACTACTATCAGCAGTATTATTACTGTGGGAGTAGTAGCAGTGGTGTACCGGTGTAGAGTAGGTTTTACTCCTTTACATTTAGTAAAGTTTAGTACAAAATAAAAGTGTTATTTGATTTACTTTGAAAGGATTAAAAAATTTAAAAGTACAACAGTTTTACCTTTTGACTTATGTTTTATTCAGCTTGTCTTTTATTTATTAATCCGCAGGAAGAAGCTGCAGATGAACACATGAAGACGAGCGCAGGTTTGGTGTTTGTCAGCAGCACTGACACAGTTTCACAGACACCGACTTCATGTATTTTAAATGTTCTTCAAATGTAAAATGAGCTTGTATTTAAGGTGTGAAAGAGAAAGAACTCAAAGAAACCAAGAAAATGTTGCAGGCATGTGGACCTGCAGAGAGAAGCTTCACACATGATGATGTTGGTTAACAGGCAGTAAGTGCAGTGATGATGATAACCTGTCTGTTAATCTGCTGAACCCTGCAGCAGGCTGAACTCTGGCTTTCTGCTGTGATCCCATTTAAAGAAGTTCAGTGCCCTAGCGTTACCTTCGCCTCTTACCGTTATGTTGCACCATCAGATCACATTCTTAACTTCACTATTGCCAATAAGATCAGGTTTATTTCATCACAATATTTCCCATTCTTCTGCTGTGTTTGTTTTCTTTTATAAATCCTTCATTTAATAATTTATTAGGTATTTAACTATATATAAACACCCTCATTTAATCAGTGAGAAGTTGTCTGTGTGTTTTCTTTGAAGCAGAAGACAAAGTCAGTCTATCAAAAGAATTCAAGTCCTTCTGAAGATCAAATTATTAATCAAGTTGTAATAAATTCAGTTGAATTTACCTAGAATAAAATAATGTAATGCCCCAACAACAAATGTTTCAGTTTGTGTTTCTCCTACACTTGCTTTTGTCGGAAATGTCAAAAAAAAAACATAGTAAATATAAATGTTTCTAATTGGCATTAAAGGAACCGCTCTAAGCTGGTTTAAGTCTTATTTATCAGATCGATTTCAGTTTGTACATGTTAACGATGAGTCCTCCATGCACGCCAAAGTTAGTCATGGAGTTCCTCAAGGATCTGTCCTCGGACCAATCCTCTTCACTTTATATATGCTTCCTTTAGGCAATATTATCAGGAAATATTCCATAAACTTTCATTGTTATGCAGATGATACTCAGTTATATCTATCGATCAAACCAGATGAAACTCATCAGTTAGCTAAACTTCAAATGTGCCTTCAGGATGTTAAAACCTGGATGACCTGTAATTTTCTAATGTTAAACTCAGATAAAACTGAAGTTAATGTTCTGGGGCCTAAGCACCTCCGTGACGCATTATCTAAAGATATAGTTTCCCTGGATGGCATCGCCCTGGCCTCCAGCACCACTGTGAGGAATCCTGGAGTTATCTTTGATCAGGACATGTCGTTTAAGTCCCACATTAAGCAAATTTCAAGGACCGCCTTTTTTCACCTACGTAATATTGCAAAAATCAGGAACATCCTGTCTAAAAATGATGCAGAAAAACTAGTCCATGCATTTGTTACTTCTAGGCTGGATTACTGCAATTCCTTATTATCAGGCTGCTCGAAAAAGTCCATTAAGACTCTTCAGCTGATCCAGAATGCTGCAGCACGTGTTCTGACAGGAACCAGGAAAAGAGATCACATTTCTCCTGTTTTAGCTTCTTTGCATTGGCTTCCAGTAAAATCCAGAATAGAATTTAAAATCATTCTTCTTACCTACAAAGCTCTTAATGGTCAGGCACCATCTTATCTTAAAGAGCTTATCTGACTTCACAAACGATCATGATCAGACTCATCGGTCAGCTTACCGACCCTGGTTATATACTCAGTAAGCCAACCCTGGGTTTACCAGTCAGTCATGATCTGACGGTAGTTACATTTATTTAACACACTCAAAAAAGTTCCAAACATTGTTCTAAATCAACTTCAGAAAAAAACAAAATAAAAATCCATTTGTGTGCTCAAATAGTGGTCCTGCCCCCTAAAATGGAACAATATCAGCGTGCTCAGATCCACTTCCTCATTCTGATCCACTCACCAGGCTAGGCATCCTCGTGGCCAAAAGCCTCCTCAGTCAGCTCCAACAGTTCTATAGTTTACTGTTGCCACCGCTTCATCAGTGACCTCTGACCAGACAGACTGACTGACTCCGGAGGCCAAGAAGAATTATGATGTTAGCAACCGGGAGCCGCTGGCCGTCAAAGTTGGCCCTTGAAGAATGGAGGCAGTGGTTGAAAGGAGCAGAGGAGCCATCTCTTGTCTGGACTGATCATAAAACTCGGCCTACATCCAGATGGCTCTGCGGCTCAACTCCCGGCAAGCTCGCTGCCTTGCCCCATCTGGCTTGGGTCGAATACGCCCACGACTCTTTGTCAGGTGCTGCCCCAGGTGTGTCTCCATCCTTTGTGCTGCCTTGTGTTCCCAGCCTGGGAGAAGTAGCCTCAGTTTGTTCTGTTCAAACCCACCTCTGTTAGGAAGGATTCCCGCGCCCTCCTCAATTCCACTGTCACATCGCAGCCCACCATCGGACATCAGCCAAAGAATACGCACCAGGTCTGACAGTTTCCTCCAAAGATCTCCCTTTGAGATCTGAATCACAGAAGCTTTTTTACAGCTCGGCCCTTTTGAACTGGAAACAACCGCTCAGTCGTCACGCTAAAGACCCCCCTCACCTCACTTTTCATGTCCCAGCTGAAACCTGTCTCCTCCAGACGCTTCAGTTAGCGGACTGGTAATTCCACATTTACTACAGACTGACATCACACGCCTGATGAACCAATCAGCTTCTCTGTAGCGCCACCTTCAGGACAAAATCTTCAACTGATCTCAGTTCAGTTTGATTTTAACAAAAACATTTTAAAGTTCATTTACAGAAATATGATGAGAATTTAATCAGGATGTTCGTGGCTCCTGCGGCCCATTACCTCAATGTCAGCTAATTAAATCAATCAGCTGCTTATCAATACAGACTGAGATGTGTGTGTGTGTGTGTGTCTGTGTGTGTGCGTGTGCGCAGTATAAAGCAGAACACTGTAAAGATGAGCTATGAGCTGCCCTCCTGAAAACACCCAATTATACCCTGGAGAAGTGTGTGTGTGTGTGTGTGTGTGTGTGTGTGTGTGTGTGTGTGTGTGTGTGTGTGTGTGTGTGTGTGTGTGTGTGTGTGTGTGTGTGTGTGTGTGTGTGTGTGTGTGTGTGCGCGCGCGTGCGTGTTCGTTCAATAAAGCTCTGGTCTCAGTTTATAGAGTCACTTTATCAAACAGCTTCTGAACAGAGATCAGGAGGTTTACTGACACACTCTGTGTGTGCGTACTACTTTGAAATCAAACTGCAGCTTCACTCTTTTTGTTTTCACTTTTCTTCCTGGTTCTATTTAACACTGTGAACAGTAAAGGTAGCGGGCCGGACCTTCATCGAACCAGGTCTCGGATTTGAAACAGGTTTACATTGGAGACGCAGTAAAAGGTTCTAAAGTTAAACAATGATATTCGGGGAGCATCCCATACTGAGAAGGAGGGTTTCACTGCTCGGTGCAGAAGTTAAATCTGTTGGTTTCAGACCTGCTTTAGGACGTCTGTGGGACAGTGGGAGGCGTAACCAAGAGTCCAGGCGAGCCTGTCATTTACTCCACAGTATGTGTTTCTGATCAAGACAGGCTACGGCGGAGGAGACTAACACTGGCTCCTCACTGAGCTCGAACAGATGATGTGGTTCTTGGAAATGGTTTAAGTTGCCAGGATAATGTTTTGGATCAGGAAATTTCCCCTGGCCTGACAAGACTGTTGTCTGGATTGCTCCTTTTTGGAAGTCTGTAAGGCCTCCTGAACGTAGTATCTTCATCTCCAGCTTCTTTGGCAACGTAGGGAGGAAGCTGAAGGTCCCCAGACCACATCAGAGACTCAGACCAGACGTGGTCCTGCTGGATCTGACTGATGGACTCAAACAGAAACAGAGTAAACAGAGAGTCAGGGATGGTGCGAGTAGTGTGTGACCAGCAAGGTCTTCACCTGCCAGACCAGATGCAGGGCAACGCAGGACGACTTCAGCTAATGGAGGTGATAAATGACATCATTAACCTGATCACTGATCAATAACACAGACAATGAACTCATCTGAACACTCAGCTCTACTGCGTGTGACCTTTTCAGCTCTTCTCACAACTCATTACTTCATCAAACACACACGAGAGGAGCAGGGGATTGTGGGAAGGAGATTAAACAATGCCTCTGAGAAATAACACACACACACACACACACACAGTTTCAGGATAATCAAACACAGAGCTGTAACGAGCTATTTTACATTTTATAAAAGCTGATGAACCATTTATTATTCATACAGCAGCAGAACACACACACACAGACAGTAGTTAATTAGCATGGCAGGCTAAACTGTGTAACAACAAACACTGTCAGAAGTGTCAACAGGGCTTCTTTCAGATTTTGGTCTAAATCGAGTTAATTCGTTCAAATGAAAAGTAAAAAACTTTCTGTGACTTCAGTCAGGAGCCTCTGAGGACACAAGACCATGAAGCCTCTCTGAGTCCTCATCCATCTGATTCTGTTCCTTCTCTGGACGTTGGGCTTCCTGCTGCTGTTCTTCATTTGCTTTGCGCTCCGATTGTTGTTAGTCAGTTTATTTTGAATGATGCCACGCTGAGCTGTGGGTTTGTCTCGCTGCTGCAGGAAACCGAAGCAGATGCTGCTGCTGAGGATCCACAGTGCATGAAATCAAGCACAGCCGCATTTTAATTTGCAGAGATTTAAAATAAACAACAGAACGGAGCAGCTGAACAATAGAAGGACGAAGCCTGAGGGGGAGATAAAGTCTGTCAACACCGTTAGAGAGACTGCAAGTCCCATGATGCAACTGCAGCAAGACTACGGCTGTCCGATATCACGCATTACTCACTGTATATGCTGTCCGAATATATAGTGAGAATTATTATACCCTATGTAGCCCACTCAATGTATCCCAGAATGCCTTTTGGAAAGTAGTGTATACAACCAATGGTCACTAACCAAGCCCTATATACCATCATGCATTGCGCTGATAAAAAAAAACAGTCCACCGACAGATTGCCCCACGACAATGACATAATTAATGGCGCCGAAACAATGATGGGAGTCCGAAAGTGTTGTTGTCATTATGCAGGTGAGCTCTAGACCTCCACATAGAACTCACTACATAGGGGGTGGGGTGTAGTGAATGAATGGGGATTTCGGACACAGCCTACAAGTCATATAATAAGACTGCAGCAAGACTAAAAAATGAAACTAGCGTTAACAATAGTTAACATTTGAAACGTCGTAACAAACATCTATTCTTTACATTTATGTTCGTTTCGAATCGTTTATATCGCAAATTTCACTCTTTACCGTTATATTTTTGTGCGGGAACGGTGCTTTGCACCGCAGTGAAGTTCGTTTGATACAGCTCGTTTCATATTTCTTCCTTCTAAATCGCTGTGGGTTGGCCTCCTCCCCTGTGCCAAGTGGGTCACCTGGTGCTCAGAGGACCATCTTCCTCAGTGGGCCTGTCTTTGATCATGTGATTTCATTGTTTGGATTAAGGAGTGAAGTGATGTAAATTACATATTTGTATAGCGCCTTCCTAGTCTTTGACCACTCAAAGCATTTTTAAAGTGCACACCATTCACACACAGTGCTCAAACAGACCCACCACGGGCAATTCGGGGTTCAGTATCTTGCCCAAGCCACAGCCGCCCCACTGACCATTCGATTAGACTGATGACACATGAAAGAGCTGAACCAGTTAAACCAGTTCTGCTCTTCATGACCAGAACTAGTAACTGAAACAAAATCTCTGGGCAGAGTTCTCTGTAAGGGTGCAGGAGCATGATGTACCTGGTCCATCTGAACCAGAACCCAAACCAGAACCTGTTACTGATCCAGAAACAAAGAGACTTGTCATTCCTGTTACCATCATCACCATCACACTGTTGGCCATGTTTTTATTTCACCTTTGTCTTGATTGATTTGATTTGCAGATATTCCTTCACAGATTAAAAAAAACTTATTTGTTCCAGGCACGTCCAGCTGGGGGGAGGCCTCGGGGAAGACCCAGGACTAGGTGGAGAGATTATATCTCCACACTGGCCTGGGAAGGCCTCAGGATCCCCAGGCAGAGCTGGTTAACGTAGCTCGGGAAAGAGAAGTTTGGGGTCCCCTGCTGGAGCTGCTCCCCCTGCGACCCGATCCCAGATAAGCAGATGAAGATGGATGGATGCTATTTATTGGTTTTAAGGTCTTTTAGAGGTTTTGTCCGACCCCCAGACCTGCAGTCAGCCAACAAACTCCCCCTGATCACTGCATTGATGCCAATGAGGAGAGGAAATCCGACTCACCTGTTGGAGGAGGAGCAGCCAGGAGAGGCAGGTGGAGAGGAGACACATAGAGGAGGTGCAGCGGGGGGGAGGAGGAGGAGGGGGAGGAGTCTTCTGGTTCGGTGTTTCTGGTCTTTGTTGCGTCTCTTCTAACACGACCTGGACACAGAGAAACATGTTGGTACCTTGCCCTTCCTCCACACCTCCCTGAACCTGATAACTAACTAATGATTAACTAAGAGGATTTGCAGCAGCTAACTTGATTTTCAACATTTATCCCTTTAACAAGCATTAAATATTTTCATTTAGACTCTGATGAAGGCAACAAAAAACCTGCAGTCTGCTGTGGTTTCTGTCATTACTGAAACATCTGACAATTCCTCCAGGACTATCAGGAGAGTTGTTAACAAAAAGATAAAAATGAGGTCATGACCTGAACATCAATATAACTACACCAGAGAATTTTATTCATACGGAAAAAAACACAAATCTGTATCTTTGTGACGAAGAAAAGAAAGCAGGTCCACGCTGTACCTGTGGTTTCACTCAGTTAATGTTTTACATGTCTGTCTGTCTGTCTGTGTCTCTGTCTGTGTCTCTGTGTCTGTCTGTGTCTCTGTCTGTGTCTCTGTGTGTGTGTCTGTCTGTCTGTGTCTCTGTGCGTGTGTGTCTCTGTGCGTGTGTGTCTGTGTCTCTGTGCGTGTGTGTCTCTGTGCGTGTGTGTCTGTCTGTGTGCGTGTGTCTGTCTGTGTGCGTGTGTGTCTGTGTGCGTGTGTGTCTGTGTGCGTGTGTGTCTGTGTGCGTGTGTGTCTGTGTGCGTGTGTGTGTCTGTGTGCGTGTGTGTGTCTCTGTGCGTGTGTCTCTGTGCGTGTGTGTCTCTGTGCGTGTGTGTCTGTCTCTGTGCGTGTGTGTCTCTGTGCGTGTGTGTCTCTGTGCGTGTGTGTCTCTGTGCGTGTGTGTCTGTCTGTGTGTGTGTGTGTCTGTCTGTGTGTGTGTGTCTCTGTGCATGTGTGTCTGTCTGTGTGTCTGTCTGTGCGTGTGTGTGTCTGTCTGTGTGTCTGTCTGTGTGTGTGTGTCTCTGTGCATGTGTGTCTCTGTGTGTCTGTCTGTGCGTGTCTGTCTGTGTCTCTGTGCGTGTCTGTGTCTGTGTGTGTCTGTGTCTCTGTCTGTGTCTCTGTGTGTGTGTCTGTGTGTGTCTGTGTCTCTGTGTGTGTGTGTGTGTGTCTGTGTGTGTCTGTGTCTGTGTGTCTGTGTCTCTGTGTGTGTCTGTGTCTGTGTGTGTCTGTGTCTCTGTGCGTGTCTGTGTCTCTGTGTGTGTGTCTGTGTGTGTCTGTGTCTCTGTGTGTGTCTGTGTCTCTGTGTGTGTGTGTCTCTGTCTCTGTGTGTGTGTGTCTCTGTCTCTGTGTGTGTCTGTGTCTCTGTGTGTGTCTGTGTCTCTGTGTGTGTGTGTCTGTGTCTCTGTGCGTGTCTGTGTCTGTGTGTGTGTCTCTGTGTGTGTGTGTCTCTGTGTGTGTGTCTCTGTCTCTGTGTGTGTCTGTCTGTGTCTCTGTGTGTGTGTGTCTGTGTCTCTGTGTGTGTCTGTCTGTGTCTCTGTGTGTGTCTGTCTGTGTCTCTGTGCGTGTCTGTCTGTCTGTGTGTGTATCATGGATGTTTTGGCAGATCAGTCCGCCTCCACACATTTTTGCTCCTTTCAGGAAACACTGACCTAAATCTGTTGACGGCAGCAACATAGCGACAACAAAACGTGAAGATGTAGCAGGATGCCCTGCTAGTGCTGAAAACACTCGTCAAAAATGATAGTTATCACAGATCACAGCACATTTGGAAAATCTGTAGATCATATTTAGATGATCTGAGCAGCATGTTTATTGCAATTTAACACACTGCATCACACCGCAATTCAACACACTGCGTGCACTGTGATACACTACATCACCCCGCACTGCAATATACTACATCACCCCGCACGCTGTAAGACACTACATCACCCCGCACTGCAATATACTACATCACCCTGCACTGTAAGACACTACATCACCCCGCACTGCAATATACTACATCACCCCGCACGCTGTAAGACACTACATCACCCCACACTGCAATATACTACATCACCCTGCACTGTAAGACACTACATCACAATGCACTATAAAACAATTGTTCACACTGCAGATTTTGAATATTAGTAAGATTTTGTTATTTGCTAAACATTTTTGATCGAATGTAACACTGGGCAAATATGTGAGGCTAAAAAAGCTAAATATTTTATACAGTTCGGTGGTTAACACACACGTATCAGATTGTTTGAGGACAGCACAGATGCTCCTTCCAGTGTTGTGGACAGATACACTGTGTGTTGTTACATCACTGAAGATGCTGTGTGTTTATTGGAAAAGAAGATACAAACATGATTACTTAGTTGTGAATCTCTTGGGGTGCTGTTGTTTAACCATACAGGTTTGAATCTGATGATTGTATGAGTGAAAGGGGCTGTGATTGGTCAGGTTAGAAATACTCTCAAGACCCAGGAGGGACTGATTAACTCAGCAATGTTTAGATCTGAGTCAAAAGCTTTGGAGTTAAACGCCAGCCAAATACTCTGCTGCTGAACAGCTGCTGTTTAGGCGTCTCCTCAGACTGCTGCCAAGAACATCATTACAGCTGCAAGACACACACACTCAGCTCCTGTTGTGTTGCTTCTGTATTTAGTATTCAGAAACTGTTAGTAAGAACACACACTGAGATGTTCATCTATCAAATGAAATACTCAGTGGAGGTGAATCTGTTTTCATCTCTACATTGACACCTGACAGTCTGTTATCGCCCTACAGTGATACCTGATGCTCTGTTATCGTCTCTTCGTGGAGATCTGAAGCTTAGCTTCTCTTATTTTACTTTACCAAATATTATCACCTTTTTTTCCCCCTTTTTCTTTTTTTTGTGGATGAAATCACATAAATGTTTTTTGCTATATTTGAATACTTCTTCTGGTTATGTAATAGTGTATTCAGGCTTCATTTCTAAAGAATATTTTTTTACAGCGCAGGCTTTTTGTTGCAGAAATCACGAGTGTCGCTTTTATTTGTTGTGCCGTTCTTGATTTTCACTCCAAGTGCTACAAAATTTAATTTCACATGCAAACTGTCTCCATCTGTAACTGTGCGGTGAAAATCTGAGACAAATTAATCCTGACAAACTGTAAACTGAAGAGAAACTGGGTTTCTGCCAGAAATCATCTACAACATGAACACACACCCACGTTCACTAAAATAAAAGCAAATTTAATCTGCGTTTGTTAGCTTCCGTAAGCCTCCAACTGCTTCTGAAAGAAATTAACAGAGAAGCCTCAGAGGGGAAACATATGGCTCAAATACGTCTGTTAGTGCAAACCAGCTAAAGCATCTCACGCTGTGCTCAGTTGCTGTTTTAATAAAAAAATAAATCAGTTTTAATGAAGGAGACACACATGAACAATACAGTCCTGCAGCAAATATCAAAGTTATTTAAAATTATTAATAAAGATTAATAAATACGAGGCACACCCTGTGATCAGGAACCGATAACCAAAATGTGAAGACAGTCTCAAAAAGGGGTTCGCCCACCATAAATGCCATACACAAATAACCACAGGAAACCGTATAACTGGCCTTTGGTCTTGATGTAGCATAGTTATTGGCCTCTCATGCAGAGTGGTACCGATGCAAAAAAATAAACATGCTAGGCATGAAAGCACACAGCTATAAACAGGACGGGGTGGTCCATTTTTTCCCACAGAAATCATCACAATGAAGCTCAGGTTACAATAACACGGTTTTAAACCTATCTCTGCCCAGACAGAAGCCACTTATTCGAAATTGCTCGAGCGATGTAATACACCAGGCCGTTTAGGTAATTTGGCAGAGACCTTTCAGGTGCTGTCGGCGGTTTCAGGGGCACAGCTGATCCTCGGAGCAGCAGGGTAAACAGTGAATTAAACTTTGTGGGGAGAGAGAACTCAAAAGTTATCCTTCTCTCTGTGAAGTAATGGTGAGTCCACATCTTCCTTCTGCAGGTATAAGATCTTTATGTTGTGTATAATAATCTCCTTTGGGATCTAAAAATGAGTTCAGTGAACACAAAAGAGAAAACAAAAGGAAAGTCGTCCAGCCGGTTCAGACCATCTCCTAGGGAAATAAAGTTCGGAGCTGACATGGGTTACCTCCGGTAACGACGCTGGTTGCAGTGGACGGCGAGGATAAACCAGTGCGCTCTCTCTTTATGGGTTCAGTTCCATCATGGCCACGCCGCAGCTTTGGTGCTGTTCCTCTGTTAAGGCTTCTGGTTTTGTTTCCCACGAAGTGAGGACACAGCAGTACAAAAGGTACATTAGATGATGGATAAAAAACAGGTCATAGAAGTAAAACTCTTGTACATGGAGCAGTGCTGAGGATGAGTTAGAGTTTAAGAGCCTGATAGCTTAGGTGAAAAAGCTGCTCTGCACTCTGGAGGTGCGGCAGCAGAAACTTCTATATCTCTTCCCAGCATGCAGCAGGGTGAACAGGCTGTGGCTGGGTGGGTACTGTCCTTTAGTATCCTTTGGGCTCTGCGTAGGCACCTCACCGATATGACTGATGTACAGTTTGAATCCCCCGCTGCAGAGCCCTCCGGTCCTGGGCCGTGCACATCCCGTGTTAGTGATGTTTCCAGTCAGGATGCTTTCTGTTGCTCCTCTGTAAAAGCTGACAAGAACTTGGCGTGGGAGGGGGGGGCTTTGTAGCTGCCAGCAATATTGGTGTAGACGTGGTCCGGGGTATTTGTTCTTCTGGTGGGGATGTGGATATGCTGGTGGAGATTAGGTAAAACAGTTCTGAGATCACTTGGATTGTAATCACAATAAAATCAGGTTGTTTGTCAGGTGACCAACATCCTACCAATAAGAATTCCACATCTGGTAAACACGGTCCATCCACTGTGTTTGAGCACCAAGCATCATGACGTGAACACAGAGTCCTCCCCTGGTCTTACCAGAGTCTAGTGCTCTGTCAGCATGGAACAGGCTCTGCCCGTCGAGTGCAGCAGCTTGATCCGGGATGCAGCCAGGTCTCATTAAGGATCAGGGTGCAGCAGTCTCTGAGGTAACCTGAGTCTCATTTCATCAATATGCATATATATATATAAACAGTTTTTCTTCAGCTAGCTGCTCCCTTGTTGTCTGTATTAGGTTGCATCGATCTGTTAAACACAAAGACAAAAACACGTCTGCAGTCTGAAGCAGCAGAAACGTCCCATCATGCTCCACTGGGCGATTTTAAATTGGACAATCATCTTCTTATTACATTTGACAGCAGCTTTTTGTGTTTGTGTGTCTCAGTAGAAAAAACACACATTCACCGTCTCTGAGCAGCGAGCTTCACAGCCAATCGGCTCCCAGAAATTAGCACTGTTGTCATGGCAACATGGCAGACGACAATGCAGTCTCCCCAAACACACATCCAGCCTCCAAAGGTTGCTGGTTCGATTCCAGCTGAGCTGCAGCTGACTGTTCGCCTGCAGGAAGCGCCTATCAGAAGGAGTGCACATGGAAATAAGAACCAGCAGAACAGCGGATGATCTGACTGGATGAACGGCCGACACTATTCTGTCACAACAGGAGCGCTCCAAAACCTGAATCAGCTGGTCCGAGCCAGGTGTCCCAAGGACAGGTAAAGAAATGGAAATGTAACATCACACCTGCAGTTTCACACGTGACCTCTGTGAACAGGTGAGCTGCAGCTTCACACGTGACCTCTGTGAACAGGTGAGCTGCAGCTTCACACGTGACCTCTGTGAACAGGTGAGCTGCAGCTTCACACGTGACCTCGATGAGCTGCAGCTTCACACGTGACCTCGATGAGCTGCAGCTTCACACGTGACCTCTGTGAACAGGTGAGCTGCAGCTTCACACGTGACCTCGATGAGCTGCAGCTTCACACGTGACCTCGATGAGCTGCAGCTTCACACGTGACCTCGATGAGCTGCAGCTTCACACGTGACCTCGGTGAACAGGTGAGCTGCAGCTTCACACGTGACCTCGGTGAACAGGTGAGCTGCAGCTTCACACGTGACCTTTGTGAACAGGTGAGCTGCAGTTTCACACGTGACCTTTGTGAACAGGTGAGCTGCAGTTTCACACGTGACCTTTGTGAACAGGTGAGATGGGCCTCAAGTCTCAGAGCGGAGAGAGGCGCAGCCTATGTGATACATCACTGATATGATATGACTAAATATCTAACTGCAGTCTGATTACCTGAGACTCCAGAGTGAGACAGCAGCAGGTGTGTCCTGGGGGCGTGTCCTCTCGGCCTCCGGATGATTTGGTTCGTCAGGAGGAGGCGTTTATCCCTCTTCCGGAACACGCCCATTTTCTCTGGTGAGATCCAGCCTTCAGGTAGCTGCAAACATTTAGCATGTTAGCATTATGTTATGTGTGAGTGTGAGAGAGAGTGAGAGAGTGTGAGAGAGAGTGAGAGAGAGTGAGTGTGTGTCACCTTGGGGAGAGGATGAGGAGGACGAATAGGTGAAGAGCGATAGAACGGAGGGAGGAGAGGAAGGACTTCAACAGCTGGACGTTCCCACTGAAACAACAAAAACAGTTTGGTGTCTCTAAAACTTCTCCTACATGCGTCACCTGTTCAGTCACAGAGAACCTCAGATCCCTCTAGAACCACATGAAGAACCAGTGGAGTTATATAAAGAACTGGAATACTGAGACCTGTGAACTGCATTACAGTTCCACCAGGTGGACAGGAAGGTGGACAGGCAGGTGACGGGTGGACAGGCAGGTGGACAGGCGGGTGGACAGGCAGGTGACGGGTGGACAGGCGGGTGGACAGGCAGGTGGACAGGCAGGTGGACAGGCAGGTGGCTGGTAGTGTCAAAAGACCGATCTCTGTTGTAGATAAAGTCAGTGTCTTGTAAAGGAGCAGTCCTTGGACCTGTGGGACAGTAGCCCTGTTCATGTTGGACAGGTGTATTCTGGATGTTCTTTTGTTGTAACTTGGACATTTTATCGAATGTTGTGTTTGTTGTTCTGGCAGCTCATTCCCCGACGCCTCTTTCTACCGTCACTGATGAATAAATCAATTCTGTCCGGACTGCATCTGCAGTCGCTGGGAGTCATTTCGGATGCTCCGCTCAGGGTCCCTCTAGGCCGGGCGTAAAGCTGAAGGACAGGCAGACAGGTGACAGAACGGTCAGGCCGTCCAATCACAGCCCACCAGTGTCCCTGAATGAGTCCTTTTAAAAGCAGCGAGGAAGCCGATAATAACGCAATCGAAGCTGTTGAACAGAGACAAAGATCTGCCCTCTCTCACATCGTCTTCATGTTTTAAAAGGGTTTTTTCAACAAGGTGAAACTAAAAGGTAGAACAATCTGCGGACGAAAAGAGTCCTCATCTGAAATGTATAAATGTGTTTTTAAAGCAAACATTAGAATAATCTGCAGTCAAGGTTTCAGGTCAGTCTGTGATTAAAGCCGTCTGACGAGTTTAACGTCAGCTGATTTCAACACTAACTTTAAAGAGAAACGATCAGACTCTATCACTGGAGTTTACACAGAAAGAATTAAAGATGAGATAATTAACACGCCGCCAATAATTAACAGACAATTATTCACTTTGCCCTCAGGGATCATTAAAGTTTCATCTTATCAGCAGACTGCAGCAGAGGCTCGACTCAGTCAGACTGAAGGAACAACGTGAGAAGTGACACGCTGAATTAAACCATTTTACCCGACTGCTTCTCCTCAGACCATTACACCACCTGCAGGGTCAGTCTGAAGCACACGATCAGACGCCGAGACAACATGAAACAACGTTTAGAAACAACGAGTTAAATGAATTTACATGAACCCATTTAAATATTCAGCGTCTCAGAGTGTCTGAATCACATCATGACTTAATGACTTGCAGGCTACGGGGGCAGGTGATTGTGGCTAATGTAGTCTGTGATCTGTTTGCAACCTTCTTGCGAAGATGTTATTTTTATTTTTCCCCTTTCATTTCTAAATGTTATAAATAAAAGCTGCTGAGTTCCTGCTGATAAGGTGAGAGCAGCAGACAAATCTAATTTTATTCTCAGGATCAGTTCACAGAATGAAGATTTATTATCAAATTCACCAAATTGTTTTGCTTTGAGGGAACTTTCATTCATTTTTTTTTAAATTATACTAAAAATCTTTCAAATTTAAAAAATATTATTATTATATTTAATAATTAATAATAGAATTTAACTTGTGTTAAATTCACCTCAGGGCACAACTTTTAATTACCTGATTTAATCTCATAATGTACTTGTGATGTTTGCAGGGTGAGTGCAGCAGGAGTGAGCCCCAACGCAAGACACTTGTGAGCTGAGATGGAGTTCAAGGTTTATTTATCCAACGCACAAAACAGGCAAGACAAAACTCACGGGAACAGGAACTGGTATCCTCCAAAAAGCAGGTAACGGGTAGCAACACGACAGCCGACAGGACAGACATGCGACAATGACCGGACAGGGAATGAACAGAAACACCAGACATTTATACACAGGAACTAACGAGCAGGGCGGGAGCAACACAGGTGACTGGGATCAGGGTAATGAGGCAGAGAGACAGAAGGGGAAAACAGAGAGACTGGATGGCAGGCAGATTACTGGAGGAAACAGATGCAGGCAGCGACAGCGAAGGGGAACAAAGAGGCAGGCAGACAAAGTAATAACTGAGGGAACAGACAGAACACTAGTACTTGCAGACATGGGGCAAAATAATAACCAACACAGACTGAACACATGTAACAAAATACCAGACAAGAATCTAACTCAGACAATAACAGAAACCCAAGTGAACAGACAAACACCGACCAACTCTAACACAGGGATCATAAAAGACAAAACCTAAACGAGAACCCAGAACTAGAACACAGAGTACCGAGCAGACTAAACCAAAATGATGCAGAGAGCGAACTAGAAGCAAATACTACAACATGAACTAAGGCACAGGACTAGGAACAAAGACATGGAACAAAAACCCAGGCCCCCCAACAAGAAAGACAGGACTGAAACCCAAAACCCAGACACAAAGAAAGCAAAATCAAAACACAAAGAAGGCATGGCCAAAATAATATAACACAGACAAGCTCAGGGCAGGATCGTGACAGTACCCCCCCCCACCGACAAGCGTCTCCAGATGGTCAATCAAAAAACAGACCGACCAGAAAACACAAACAACAAAGTCCAGGCTGACCAGGGTGGGCAGAGGGAGGACAGGAGGCGGGCCAGAAAAACAAAAAGTCCAGGGAGCAGAACGAGAGAGGACCAGGGAGGTCAGGGGGTTGACCTGAGGGCAGAACAGGGGGACCAGACGGGGAAACCTCAGGCGGGCGGCCCGAGGGCAGAGCAAAGGGGAAACAGAGTTCAGGGGGCTGACCCGGAGGTCGACCGAGCAGACCAGGAGGGCAACACAGTTCAGGTGACCCATGAGGCCAGGCAGACCAGGGGGGAAACAGAGTTTGGGAGGCCGTCCCGGATGACGTCCCAACGGGCCGGGCAGAACAGGGGGGCCACAGAGTTTGGGAGCAACGGGCCGGGCAGAACAGGGGGGCCACAGAGTTCAAGGGGTTGGCAGGATGGCCAACAGTGAGGCAGCAAACCCACTGGGGGCCGAGCAGGAGGCCGACGGCAAGAGGTCGGCACCCAAAGCTTGGAGGCGCAGCTGGGCTGAGGTCCACGGATTGAGCAGATGGGCTGATGACCACCGGCGAGACAGCTGGGGACGACCGACAGGGCACGAGGAACAGGAGTCGGCTGGGCCACCAACGGAGCTGGTGTTGGTCGGACCACGACGAAGGAACAGGAGTCGATCGGACCACAGAGTGAGACCTGGGAGCAGGAATAGGCCAGGGATCGGGCAGGCAGCTAGCAGCGCTAGCAGGCCGGGAAACAGGCTGGTTGCAGACGGGTCTCTGATGGTGACCTTGTCGCCTCCAATGACCACCACGGGAACCCGAAAAAATGGCTAGGCGAATCCCTTCAAAAGAGGACTCTGGGGAATGCCTAGCCTCCAGGCTATCTGGCCATAGGCTAGCTGCCCATGCTGCCTCTGACTCCCTGGCCTTCATGGTCAGGTAGGCCAGGAGAGTCATCGTCCCCGCGTCCTTGGTAGGTGGGGCAGGCAGGCAGACGGACAGGCTAGGCGGAGGACTAGCAGCGCTAGTCGAACAGGTTTCAGACAGGACAGGCGGAGGACTAGCTGCGCTAGCCAAGCAGGTGACTGGCAGGACAGGCGGGGGACTAGCAGCGCTAGCCGAGCAGGATACAGGCCGAACATGCGGAGGACTTAGCGCAGCTAGCTGAACAGGTTACAGGCAGAGGGCTAGTAGCACTAGCCAGGCAGGACAGAAGGATGCTTCCCAACCTGCAACTAGCAGGCCGAGAACAAGTCCTTTGAGGGCTAGCAGGCCGGGGAGATGACAGCCGGGGGCTAGTGGTCCGGGTGTTAGCCGTTTCCAGGCTAACGGACTGAGGAACTGATGAGGACTTGGCTGGGGGATCGGCTGAGGTGTGGAGGAAGTCACAAACCCACCCAGGGAAAGAGTCTGCTGCTCCTGGCTTAGCAGCCAGGCTCTTCCAGGCAAGGGACACGATAGCTGCCTTATCGCTAACATGACTAGCCCCATACCACATATGCCTCAGCGTCAGAAGATCTCTCTGCACATCAGATTGTTCCTCAGTTAATGTGTCTGCTGGGCTCATAATTGGTCCGGTCATTCTGTCACGTTCGCTGTGTGATTGCAGCAGGAGTGAGCCCAAACGCAAGACACAAGGTTTATTTATCCAACGCACAAAACAGGCAAGACAAAATTCACGGGAACAGGAACTGGTATCATCCAAAAAGCAGGTAACGGGTAGCAACAGGACAGACATGCGACAATGACCGGACAGGGAATGAACAGAAACACCAGACATTTATACACAGGGACTAACGAGCAGGGTGGGAGCAACACAGGTGACTGGGATCAGGGTAATGAGGCAGAGAGACAGAAGGGGAAAACAGAGAGACTGGATGGCAGGCAGATTACTGGAGGAAACAGAGGCAGGCAGAGACAGCGAAGGGGAACAAAGAGGCAGGCAGACAAAGTAATAACTGAGGGAACAGACAGAACACTAGTACTGGCAGACATGGGGCAAAATAATAACCAACACAGACTGAACACATGTAACAAAATACCAGACAAGAATCTAACTCAGACAATAACAGAAACCCAAGTGAACAGACAAACACCGACCAACTCTAACACAGGGATCATAACAGACAAAACCTAAACGAGAACCCAGAACTAGAACACAGAGTACCGAGCAGACTAAACCAAAATGATGCAGAGAGCGAACTAGAAGCAAATACTAAGGCACAGGACTAGGAACAAAGACATGGAACAAAAACCCAGGCCCCCCAACAAGACAGACAGGACTGAAACCCAAAACCCAGACACAAAAAAAGCAAAATCAAAACACAAAGAAGGCATGGCCAAAACAATATAACGCAGACAAGCTCAGGGCAGGATCGTGACAGTACTAAACTATCAATTTGGAACTATCAAAATGACCATCAGTAGCTGGTAGGTTGAAGGATTTGTGGTTTGGAGATGAACTCAGCAAAACATTCAAATAACTTTACAGAACTTTATTGTAACGGTTATAAACAATGTGTTCATGCTTGTTCAATGAACCAAAAACAATCAATGAACATGCACATGTGGAACATTTGCTAAGACACTAACAGCGGACAGACAATTAAGCCAATTATGGTCAGTTATAAAACCGTAGAACACTAAAGAGACGTCTCAAAAGAAAGACGCCAGGGTTCCCGCTCATCTGCATGACGTCCTGCAAGGAGGCGTGAGGACTGCAGATGTGGCCAGGGCAATAAAATGCATTGTCCGTACTGTGAGAGGGGAGAGAGGAAAAACTTATGATCGTCCTCCAGTGGCAGATCATGTGAGAGAACACCTGCACAGAGTTCTTGTACATCAGAATATCACCACTGCGGGACAGGATGGCAACAACAGCTGCACGAGTTACACCAGGTCCCATCAGTGCTCAGACGGCAGCAGGCCGAGAGAGGCTGGACTGAGGGCTGCAGGCTCCATAACAGACTGCATCACCGGCAACCTCTGGGCACAAAACCACCTTTCGCTGGACCAGACAGGACCGGGAAAAAGGGCTCTTGATGGATGCGGTTTTGGCTCAGCATGGTCGGACTAATGCTATGATTTACAGGGAAGACTCCCTCCTCCCTCATGTGGTGCCCCTGAGGGCCATTCCCCCAGAAATGTCCGGGAACTTGCATGCCTCGGTGGAAGAGAGGGATAACATCTCAGAGCAGGAACTGGCCAATCTGGTGCAGCTGATGAGGAGGAGATGCAGCTGGAGGCCACAGCAGTACCTAACTGGTACTCTTTGTTCAGGGACGCATTTTTCAATTCCTGTTAGTCACACGTCCCTGTACCAGGTGAGTGTGTGACACCTGTACCAGGTGAGTGTGTTACCTGTACCAGGTGTGTTACCTGTACCAGGTGAGTGTGTTACCTGTACCAGGTGAGTATGAGTCACCTGTATCAGGTAGGTGTGTTACCTGTACCAGGTGTGTTACCTGTACCAGGTGTGTGTGTGACACCTGTACAGGTGAGTATGTGTTACCTGTATCAGGTAGGTGTGTTACCTGTACCAGGTGTGTTACCTGTATCAGGTGTGTGTGAGACACCTGCACCAGGTGAGGGTGTATTATCTGTACCATGTAGGTGTGTTACCTGTACCAGTTGAGGGTGTGTGACACCTGTACCAGGTGTGTTACCTGTACCATGTAGGTGTGTTACCTGTACCAGTTGAGGGTGTGTGACACCTGTACCAGGTGTGTTACCTGTACCAGGTGAGTGTATGACACCTGTACCAGGTGAGGGTGTGTGACACCTGTACCAGGTGAGGGTGTGTGACCTGTATCAGGTGTGTTACCTGTACGAGGTGAGTGTGTGTTACTTGTATCAGGTGAGTGTGTGTTACCTGTATCAGGTGTGTTACCTGTACCAGGTGAGTGTGTGTTACTTGTATCAGGTGTGTTACCTGTACCAGGTGAGTGTGTGTTACTTGTATTAGGTGAGTGTGTGTTACCTGTACCATGTAGATGTGTACCTGTACCAGATGAGTGTGTGTTACTTGTATCAGGTGTGTTACCTGTACAGGTGAGTGTGTGTTACCAGTACCATGTAGGTGTGTTACCTGTATCAGGTGTTACCTGTACCAGGTGTGTTACCTGTACCATGTAGGTGTGTTACCTGTATCAGGTGTGTTACCTGTACCAGATGAGTGTGTGTTACCTGTACCATGTAGGTGTGTTACCTGTACCAGGTGTGTTACCTGTACCATGTAGGTGTGTTACCTGTACCAGGTGTGTTACCTGTACCATGTAGGTGTGTTACCTGTACCAGGTGTGTTACCTGTACCATGTAGGTGTGTTACCTGTACCAGGTGTGTTACCTGTACCAGGTGTGTTACCTGTACCAGGTGAGTGTGTGTTACCTGTACCATGTAGGTGTGTTACCTGTATCAGGTGTGTTACTTGTATCAGGTGTGTTACCTGTACCAGGTGAGTGTGTGTTACTTGTATTAGGTGAGTGTGTGTTACCTGTACCATGTAGATGTGTTACCTGTACCAGATGAGTGTGTGTTACTTGTATCAGGTGTGTTACCTGTACAGGTGAGTGTGTGTTACCAGTACCATGTAGGTGTGTTACCTGTATCAGGTGTGTTACCTGTACCAGGTGTGTTACCTGTACCATGTAGGTGTGTTACCTGTATCAGGTGTGTTACCTGTACCAGATGAGTGTGTTACCTGTACCATGTAGGTGTGTTACCTGTACCAGGTGTGTTACCTGTACCAGGTGTGTTACCTGTATCAGGTGTGTTACCTGTACAGGTGAGTGTGTGTTACCAGTACCATGTAGGTGTGTTACCTGTACCAGGTGTGTTACCTGTACCAGGTGTGTTACCTGTACCATGTAGGTGTGTTACCTGTACCAGGTGTGTTACCTGTACCATGTAGGTGTGTTACCTGTACCAGGTGTGTTACCTGTACCAGGTGAGTGTGTGTTACCTGTACCATGTAGGTGTGTTACCTGTATCAGGTGTGTTACCTGTACCAGGTGTGTTACCTGTATCAGGTGAGTGTGTTCAGGTATCCACACAGCTGGGGGGTAGAAGACCAGAGGGGGCATGGCCTGGTACGCTGCCGCTGACCAGCTGGCCAACCACAGCCAGTGGGGGACAGGGTCACTGTTGACGGACAGCCAGGGTGTGGTGGTGGTTACCATGCCAACTGGCTGACCTTTAAACCTTGAGACGGGCAGCATCATGATGACATCACCCCCTGACAGACACACAGACCAATCAGGAGATTGATTAGAATTGATCAAATAGTTACCAGCTGAATTTAGAAAAAACATGAGCGGCTGTTTTCCTGTTTACAGTTAGCTTCAGATACCCAGCATGCACTGCACTGAAACTCCCAGAAGCTCGAGAGCAGGGTGAGTAAAGTCAGTTAAACATCTGTGAAACAGGAACAACAATATCTTTAAGCAGCAGAAACACAGAGATGAAAGTAGCATAAAGAAATCCTGAGAGATGAAAGTGAGGGAAAGAAAAGCCAGCAGATATTTAGAAACTAGAAATAAATTCTATTAAAAACACAGATTCAAACTGAGCAGCGCTGACTCATCAGTCTAGGTCGGAAAAAAATACCTACAACTGCTTTAAATACTGCACGAATACTGCGATCTGATCGCTTTAACATCGAACAGAAGCATCCACACAGATGTAAGCTGCTGCCTGAGAGAATCAAAAGAAGGTCTTTATTTTCCTGTTTCCTCCGTTTGGCCTTTCAAAGTTACACA